AACATATATTCAGGTGGGAAATGTTTTGCGGATCTTGACGATTCATAGAAATTACACTCTCAACCAGATTCGATAATCCTACATCCCATTACAGTAGCAACACATTTATAATCCTCTCAACAGAGAATGTTTGAAACGATTACACCGGCATAGTTTGGTTACTGAAACCTTCTGTTCCTTAATTATTTGTTTTGTGAGGTGAATAGAACACATAACGGTGGTGTGCAAAGAGGACTGTTCAGGAACTATAAATTCAGTTTTGTATTCGAAAACATTCGTTGGAAAATGAAATGGATTTCTCAGCAGTGTCTTGGTTTGCATCCACGTTATCTGCTTTATTCAGGAATCATTTGTACTGCTGTAATGTTCGGGCACTAGAGTACAACAGGCATCTCACGGATCATTTCAACCATTATTCAGGTCCATTGATGACTCGTTATTTGTTTTACACTGTATACGGTTAACTACCCGGATGTCAATAACGCTGTGTTTGGAGTAAGCTTTGGTTCATTCAGGTGTCTATTGATGTCCCTCAATAAGCCAGAGCGAATTCAGGTTTCGTGAGACAAAGAGGAGCAGGGTAGAATCTGTTGTTTATAAGAGTAGGTTATTTTAGGTCAATAATTGTATCATTGAGCTCAATGTCTCCTGTGGTGTTCGTATGACGAAAAGTATAGGATCTCACATGTCATCAATCAAATTAGAAATACTGACGAATGATTCTGCTGTCAGGTACTGGTGTGGTCTTATTGTGTCGGAGTTGAGGAATCCATTCCATGGTGTTGGAGTTATTGTGCTTGATTGAAAGAAACCTAGGTGGGGTGCCATAGTGAGGGAACAGAGGTGCGGTGAGTGAGTGAGTGAGGAAACGGTGGTGGGGGTGAGTGAGTGAGTGAGGAAATGGAAGGTTAGGGTTTCAAAGTCTAAGTTCCAAGCTACCTGGAATGTGCATTTATCTGCATGAAGGAAGGATTGTTGCTGAATGTGATACAACGTTCCTTTTATAGAAATATCCCGGGTATATAATGTTGGAACACGAGTGCTAGGAAAGGTATAACAGAGAGTATAGAGGATGATAGAATGTTCTATGATGACGTGTCTGCAAGGCCCTGATACTGTTTGGAAAACATGGAAAGTAATCTGGCATACTTGTATGTCTCATCACTATTTTGACTAGATGAGTTTAACATTATATATATTATACATTTTTACCTAATGTGGTTTCCAGAAAACTGACCCCAGCCCTGGTGTTGCAGACCAACAGCTGCTAGTGCATGTCTACCAATCTCACTGCCTGTCCTCTCTTGGCAATAATATCTTTTCGCTGTGCCACACATCCAGATAGTTTCAATATAAATATGAAGAAACACATCATGCCATGGGTTATAGTCTGGTCATTCCTTCACTAACAATTTGAAAACAAATGTTTTTTAAAATGTACGCTAATTTCCAGCAATACATATTCAACACAGAGCTGCAGTATTGGCAAGATTATTGTGCAAAGAATTGGTTGACTACCAGATCTCCATTCAGGGGTTTCAATTGCTGTCTCTGCAATAGAGACTGGATGGCGGAAAGTATGACATACCTCCGTCCCAGCTGGCCTCGGAGGGGATTTATACATCCTCTTGTTCATCCCTGACTAATGCAGGGTGTAGAAAACCTATAACCTCTACGACGATGATAGCCCCGGAAAGACGATATTACTTTATGATTAGAGCTTAGAGGGAGAGGAGGTGAGTTTTTCAATATTATCTTTAAAGTATCACCCACTTGAAATTAGTTTTGCCTTGGGCGCTGGGCCTGAGCGCTATATACTTGAATAGCCTGTGTGTGTGGAAGTATTGATACACCATGGAACATGTAGCGTCTGTATGTCGAGTGTATCACTGCAGCAGTTGCTCGAGTAGGTGATACAGGTGCAGTAGGGATAGCCCCACCTGGCGGCCTGGCTACAACCAATGCAACAACCTTTGTTCACCTTAATCCCAGGTCAATATATTGAGGAAAAGCAACACTGACCTATTCGGTGCCAAACTTGCTTCATGTCTTGGCTCCGTTCGCGATCTCAGGTCGTGACACAAATATGTGTGTGGAGCGTCACGCTGCTCTCTGCAATTCTTCAATGTGTGCTGCTTGTGCGATTCTTCCATGTGTTTGTGTGTGTGTCACGCTTTGTCTGCAATCCTTCAATGTGTGTGTATAATGTGTGTGTATAAGGAGAGTTAGTGACGACGATCAATTTAACCTCGTGGGAAGATCTGTCAGTCATTGAAAGTCTTTTGTTTTGACATACACTGATTCTACACTCCACCTGGCTTGTCGATTGCCGATATTGTAAGCCATGTCCATGCGTAATCCCATTGCTAATGCGCTAAATGTATGCATTTGTAATGAATAAAATCAGTAACGTTGTGTTATGAATCAATTCACCCGTACGTTTGTGTTCTTTTGTCCATGTTTAACTTGCAAATGACTCCCAAAAAAACTCCCAAAAAAGGAAAAAGAAGGAAAAAATAGGAAAGAAAGAAAACAGGAAAAAAAGAAGAAAAAGAATGCTGAAATGAAACTAAACTCAGCAAAAGCACAATGCACGAAGTTGCATGACAAGAGGGCTGACTTCAGTTCTCCAGGAGTTTCTTACAGGTTCTCCGGTTTTGTTTGTTTCACATTACGCGCCTTTTAAAATACAATGCACAAAGTTGTATGGCAAGACGTGCTGTATAAGTGAACATTTGAATAGTGTCATATGACGCTTGCTTACTTGTTCTTCCATCAAGGTTAAAGCATTCACCGCCTCAGTACAGCTTGTTGTTTTAGCTTAGCCATGTTCTTCTGCTATTTAGTTTATTTTTCTGCAAACCTCCGGTATCATCACTTTTTTTTACAGTGATTCACAAACGCATCTTTCTGCTTTTAGTACAGCTTCTTATGTTTAGAGAAAGGGCTTTGCCACTTTTAATTATTTTTAACTTCTTTTGAATCATACGTGTATCCCTATCAGTACTATGTAAATGTTAATGGAATGGATCACTTTGGTGAGTGGCTGGGGATATTTATTCAGTACTGAAGGGTATTGAACTTAGTTTTTCGTTTGTAATTTTAAGAAGAACTTATTGACCGATGTCTTTCTGGCTACAATATACTAATTCAGTTTTAGTCCAGGTAGATTATGTCGAGACACGTTTGTATGCAATCTATCTGTCCTACTGGCGTGCCATCTTAAGAATCAGGCTGGTAATTCTTGCAACGTTCCACTACTAGCACCTTACCATGTATGCTGAAGGAAATACAACTAAAATAATAAGAATCGAAATATCTCAGAATCTAGATTAAACTAAACTTAGTGTCAGTACCGTCTCCCTGTTGGGGTAGAGAGAAGGGTCGCCTGATGAGGTGCGACAACGTTGTCAGATATAACTCAAACCAAGCCAAGCCGAATGATCACGTCATCTCTGAAGAATACTGGATAACAGTAAACTGTCCAGTGTTTGCGGTGAAACCCAAAAGTACAGAACTGGAATGTGTCAGGCTGACCGACTATACTCTAAACAAACCAGGAGCCAGATATTCTCAACAAAGATGACCAAGGATGTCTGCACCTCCTCTTGTGGGGCTGTATTTGAAGCTTGGTTCTGTTCACGTCCGGATTCTCATCGAGAAAATTTATGGTTTCAGGTTTTGAAGATATAGATGTGATAACGGAATTTAGGCAGTGGCCAACACGATCACCTAGGGTACACTTTCTCATTCAACAGCAAACGGCCTTGCTGTACCACTGGCATAACACTGATTGGTTCTTTGAAATGTTTAATCAACTCGTCAAGCTTTGAAGAATACACGTTTATCAGGCTGTACAGGGAATACTGGTTCCAGATAGGAGGAGAAGTATCCTTTCGAAAACCATCCACTCAAACTTTGAGCATTCAAATATAGTTACATCACTCTATACAGAGAACCCATTCTTTTTTACTGATTATTGAAACAGGGCTAAAAAGTTCTTGTAAGACATTTGTACTTGGAGAAATCCTAGATATTTGTACTTGAGAAATCTTAGATATTTGTACTTGAGAAATCCTAGATACATGTACTTGGAGAAATCTTAGATACATTTACTTTGAGAAGTCCTAGATACTTGTACTTGGATAAATCTTAGATACTTGTACTTGGAGAAATCTTAGATGCTTGTACTTGGAGAAGTCCTAGATACTTGTACTTGGAGAAATCTTAGATACTTGTACTTGGAGAAGTCTTAGATACATGTACTTGGAGAAGTCCTAGATACATGTACTTGGAGAAATCTTAGATACTTGTACTTGGAGAAATCTTAGATACTTGTACTTGAGAAGTCCTAGATGCTTGTACTTGGAGAAATCCTAGATACTTGTACTTGGAGAAATCTTAGATACTTGTACTTGGAGAAGTCCTAGATACATGTACTTGGAGAAATCTTAGATACTTGTACTTGGAGAAGTCTTAGATACTCTGGAGAAGTCTTAGATACTTGAGAAAACTTAGATACATGTACTTGGAGAAGTCTTAGATACATTTACTTGGAGAAGTCCTAGATACTTTGTACTTGGAGAAATCTGAGATACTTGTACTTGGTGAAATCTTAGATACTTGTACTTGGAGAAGTCCTAGATACTTGTACTTGGAGAAATCTTAGATATTTGTACTTGGAGAAATCCTAGATACATGTACTTCGAGAAGTCCTAGATACTTGTATTTGGAGAAATCTTAGATACTTGTACTTGAGAAGTCTTAGATACTTGTACTTGGAGAAGTCCTAGATACATGTACTTGGAGAAATCTTAGATACTTGTACTTGAGAAATCTTAGATACTTGTACTTGGAGAAGTCGTAGATTCATGTACTTGGAGAAGTCCTAGATACATGTACTTGGAGAAGTCCTAGATACTTGTACTTGGAGAAATCTTAGATACATGTACTTGGAGAAATCTTAGATACTTGTACTTGGAGAAGTCCTAGATTCATGTACTTGGAGAAATCTTAGATACTTGTACTTGGAGAAATCTCAGATACATGTACTTGGAGAAGTCCTAGATACATGTACTTGGAGAAATTTTAGATACTTGTACTTGGAGAAATCTTAGATACATGTACTTGGAGAAGTCCTAGATACTTGTACTTGGAGAAATCTTAGATACTTGTACTTGGAGAAATCTTAGATACTTGTACTTGGAGAAGTCCTAGATACATGTACTTGGAGAAATCTTAGATACTTGTACTTGGAGAAGTCTTAGATACTTGTACTTGGAGAAGTCCTAGATACATGTACTTGGAGAAATCTTAGATACTTGTACTTGGAGAAATCTTAGATACTTGTACTTGGAGAAGTCCTAGATACATGTACTGAAAGAGAAATCTTAGATACTTGTACTTGGAGAAGTCTTAGATACTTTGTACTTGGAGAAGTCCTAGATACATGTACTTGAGAAGTCTTAGATACATTGACTTGGAGAAGTCCTAGATACTTGTACTTGGTGAATCTTAGATACTTGTACTTGGAGAAATCTTAGATGCTTGTACTTGGAGAAGTCCTAGATACTTGTACTTGGAGAAATCTTAGATACTTGTACTTGGAGAAGTCTTAGATACATGTACTTGGAGAAGTCCTAGATACATGTACTTGGAGAAATCTTAGATACTTGTACTTGGAGAAATCTTAGATACATGTACTTGGAGAAATCCTAGATACTTGTACTTGGAGAAACCCTAGATACTTGTACTTGGAGAAATCTTAGATACTTGTACTTGGAGAAGTCCTAGATACATGTACTTGAGAAATCTTAGATACTTGTACTTGGAAAAGACTTAGATACTTGTACTTGGAGAAGTCCTAGATACATGTACTTGGAGAAATCTTAGATACTTGCACTTGGAGAAGTCTTAGATACATGTACTTGGAGAAGTCTTAGATACATTTACTTGGAGAAGTCCTAGATACTTTGTACTTGGAGAAATCTGAGATAATTTGTACTTGGAGAAATCTTAGATACTTGTACTTGGAGAAGTCCTAGATACGTGTACTTGGAGAAATCTTAGATATTTGTACTTGGAGAAATCCTAGATACATGTACTTTGAGAAGTCCTAGATACTTGTACTTGGAGAAATCTTAGATACATGTACTTGAGAAGTCCTAGATACTTGTACTTGGAGAAATCTTAGATACTTGTACTTGGAGAAGTCCTAGATACTTGTACTTGGAGAAGTCTCTTAGATACTTGTACTTGGAGAAGATTTAGATACTTGTACTTGGAGAAGTCCTAGATACTTGTACTTGGAGAAATCTTAGATACATGTACTTGGAGAAATCTTAGATACTTGTACTTGGAGAAGTCCTAGATACTTGTACTTGGAGAAGTCTTAGATACTTGTACTTTGGAGAAGTCTTAGATACATGTACTTGGAAAAGACCTAGATACTTGTACTTGGAGAAATCTTAGATACATGTACTTGGAGAAATCTTAGATACTTGTACTTGGAGAAGTCCTAGATACATGTACTTGGAGAAATCTTAGATACTTGTACATGGAGAAGTCCTAGATACATGTACTTGGAGAAATCTTAGATACTTGTACTTGGAGAAATCTTAGATACATGTACTTGGAGAAGTCCTAGATACTTGTACTTGGAGAAATCTTAGATACTTGTCCTTGGAGAAATCTTAGATACTTGTACTTGGAGAAGTCCTAGATACATGTACTTGGAGAAATCTTAGATACTTGTACTTGGAGAAGTCTTAGATAGATACTTGTACTTGGAAGTCCTAGATACATGTACTTGGAGAAGTCTTAGATACATTTACTTGGAGAAGTCCTAGATACTTGTACTTGGAGAAATCTTAGATACTTGTACTTGGAGAAATCTTAGATGCTTGTACTTGGAGAAGTCCTAGATACTTGTACTTGGAGAAATCTTAGATACTTGTACTTGGAGAAGTCTTAGATACATGTACTTGGAGAAGTCCTAGATACTTGTACTTGGAGAAATCTTAGATACTTGTACTTGGAGAAATCTTAGATACATGTACTTGGAGAAGTCCTAGATGCTTGTACTTGGGAAATCCTAGATACTTGTACTTGGAGAAATCTTAGATACTTGTACTTGGAGAAGTCCTAGATACATGTACTTGGAGAAATCTTAGATACTTGTACTTGGAAAGTCTTAGATACATGTACTTGAGAAGTCCTAGATACATGTACTTGGAGAAATCTTAGATACTTGCACTTGGAGAAAACTTAGATACATGTACTTGGAGAAGTCTTAGATACATTTACTTGGAGAAGTCCTAGATACTTGTACTTGGAGAAATCTGAGATACTTGTACTTGGAGAAATCTTAGATACTTGTACTTGGAGAAGTCCTAGATACTTGTACTTGGAGAAATCTTAGATATTTGTACTTGGAGAAATCCTAGATACATGTACTTGAGAAGTCCTAGATACTTGTATTTGGAGAAATCTTAGATACTTGTACTTGAGAAGTCTTAGATACTTGTACTTGGAGAAGTCCTAGATACATGTACTTGGAGAAATCTTAGATATTTGTACTTGGAGAAATCTTAGATACTTGTACTTGGAGAAGTCGTAGATTCATGTACTTGGAGAAGTCCTAGATACATGTACTTGGAGAAGTCCTAGATACTTGTACTTGGAGAAATCTTAGATACTTGTACTTTGGAGAAGTCTTAGATACTTGTACTTGGAGAAATCTTAGATACTTGTACTTGGAGAAATGTCTTAGATACTTGTACTTGGAGAAGTCCTAGATACTTGTACTTGGAGAAGTCTTAGATACATGTACTTTGAGAAGTCCTAGATACTTGTACTTGGAGAAATCCTAGATACTTGTACTTGAGAAGTCTTAGATACTTGTACTTGGAGAAGTCTTAGATACATGTACTTGGAAAAATCCTAGATACTTGTACTTGGAGAAATCTTAGATACATGTACTTGGAGAAATCTTAGATACTTGTACTTGGAGAAGTCCTAGATACATGTACTTGGAGAAATCTTAGATACTTGTACATGGAGAAGTCCTAGATACATGTACTTGGAGAAATCTTAGATACTTGTACTTGGAGAAATCTTAGATACATGTCCTTGAGAAGTCCTAGATACTTGTACTTGGAGAAATCTTAGATACTTGTCCTTGGAGAAATCTTAGATACTTGTACTTGGAGAAGTCTTAGATACATGTACTTGGAAATCTTAGATACTTGTACTTGGAGAAGTCTTAGATACTTGTACTTGGAGAAGTCCTAGATACATGTACTTGGAGAAGTCTTAGATACATGTACTTGGAGAAGTCCTAGATACTTGTACTTGGAGAAATCTTAGATACTTGTACTTGGAGAAGTCTTAGATACTTGTACTTGGAGAAATCTTAGATACTTGTACTTGGAGAAGTCTTAGATACATGTACTTGAGAAGTCTTAGATACATGTACTTGGAGAAATCTTAGATACATGTATACTTGTACTTGGAGAAATCTTAGATACTTGTACTTGGGAGAAGTCCTAGATACTTGTACTTGGAGAAATCCTAGATACTTGTACTTGGAGAAATCTTAGATACTTGTACTTGGAAGTCCTAGATACATGTACTTGGAGAAATCTTAGATACTTGTACTTGGAAAAGTCTTAGATACTTGTACTTGGAGAAGTCCTAGATACATGTACTTGGAGAAATCTTAGATACTTGCACTTGAGAAGTCTTAGATACATGTACTTGGAGAAGTCTTAGATACATGTACTTGGAGAAGTCCTAGATACTTGTACTTGGAGAAATCTGAGATACTTGTACTTGGAGAAATCTTAGATACTTGTACTTGGAGAAGTCCTAGATACTTGTACTTGGAGAAATCTTAGATACTTGTACTTGGAGAAATCCTAGATACATGTACTTGGAGAAGTCCTAGATACTTGTACTTGGAGAAATCTTAGATACTTGTACTTGGAGAAAGTCTTAGATACTTGTACTTTGAGAAGTCCTAGATACATGTACTTGGAGAAATCTTAGATACTTGTACTTGGAGAAATCTTAGATACTTGTACTTGGAGAAGTCTTAGATACATGTACTTGGAGAAGTCCTAGATACATGTACTTGGAGAAGTCCTAGATACTTGTACTTGGAGAAATCTTAGATACATGTACTTGGAGAAATCTTAGATACTTGTACTTGGAGAAGTCCTAGATACATGTACTTGGAGAAATCTTAGATACTTGTACTTGGAGAAATCTCTAGATACATGTACTTGGAGAAGTCCTAGATACATGTACTTGGAGAAATCTTAGATACTTGTACTTGGAAATCTTAGATACTTGGAGAAGTCCTAGTACTTGGAGAAGTCTTAGATACTTGTACTTGGAGAAATCTTAGATACTTGTACTTGGAGAAATCTTAGATACTTGTACTTGGAGAAGTCCTAGATACATGTACTTGGAGAAATCTTAGATACTTGTACTTGGAGAAGTCTTAGATACTTGTACTTGGAGAAGTCCTAGATACATGTACTTGGAGAAATCTTAGATACTTGTACTTGGAGAAATCTTAGATACTTGTACTTGGAGAAGTCCTAGATACATGTACTTGGAGAAATCTTAGATACTTGTACTTGGAGAAGTCTTAGATACTTGTACTTGGAGAAGTCCTAGATACACATGTACTTGGAGAAAGTCTTAGATACATTGTACTTGGAGAAGTCTTAGATACTTGTACTTGGAGAATCCTTAGATACTTGTACTTGGAGAAATCTTAGATACTTGTACTTGGAGAAGTCCTAGATACTTGTACTTGGAGAAATCTTAGATACTTGTACTTGGAGAAGTCTTAGATACATGTACTTGGAGAAGTCCTAGATACATGTACTTGGAGAAGTCCTAGATACTTGTACTTTGGAGAAATCTTAGATACTTGTACTTGAGAAATCTTAGATACTTGTACTTGGAGAAGTCCTAGATACTTGTACTTGGAGAAATCCCTAGATACTTGTACTTGGAGAAATCTTAGATACTTGTACTTGGAGAAGTCCTAGATACATGTACTTGGAGAAGTCTTAGATACTTGTACTTGGAGAAGTCTTAGATACATGTACTTGGAGAAGTCTTAGATACATTTACTTGGAGAAGTCCTAGATACTTGCTTGGAGAAATCTTGAGATACTTGTACTTGGAAAATCTTAGATACTTGTACTTGGAGAAGTCCTAGATAATTTGTACTTGGAGAAATCTTAGATATTTGTACTTGGAGAAATCCCTAGATATACATGTACTTGGAGAAGTCCTAGATACTTGTACTTTGGAGAAATCTTAGATACTTGTACTTGGAGAGAAGTCTTAGTCTTAGGAGATACTTGTACTTGGAGAAGTCCTAGATACATGTACTTGGAGAAATCTTAGATACTTGTACTCTGTTGGGAAGTGGCGTAGATTCATGTACTTGTGATGGATGATGCCAGTGGTTTCCAACACAGAAGCGACTTAATACATTGGTCAGACTCACTGAACTGGTTCATTTTGAAAGATGCAGTTGTATCAATCACTGTGTCAAGTTACAGGCCACAACCATATGGCTGGAATATTGCTGAGTGCTGCATTAAACAAAAACCAAATGTCACTGTTGTTCAAATAAAAGCATGAAATGTATTGCTGTGAAGATCTATAACCTGCATCACTTTTCCTGTAATATGAGGGGCGGTGGGGTAGCCTCGAGGTTAAAGCGTTTGCTCGTCACGCCGAAGACCTGGGTTCGATTCCCCACATGGGTACAATGTGTAATGCCCATTTCTGGTGTCCCTGGTCGTGATATTACAGGAATATTGCTAAAAGCGACTTAGAACCACACTCACTCACTCACTCACTCACTCACTCACTCACTCACCCACTCACTCCTCCCACTCCTCACCCACACCACCTCACTCACTCACTCACTCACTCCTCACTCATTCACTCATTCATTCCGATATGAATTCCGATATGAATGTGACACAACCCAAATATTGGACAGTAAACCCAACTCACTTTTTATCCACATGTCCAGCTGTCCAAGGCGGTGAAGATGTTGGTGTGCAACCACCGGCTGATCCTGTCCGGAACGCCTATACAGAACAATGTCCTGGACCTGTGGTCTCTGTTTGACTTCCTGATGCCGGGGTTCCTGGGCACCGAGCGGCAGTTCCAGGCCCGGTACGGGAAGCCCATCCTGCAGAGTCGCGACGCCAAGAGCACGACCAAAGAACAGGAAGCAGGTGGGGTGAATCTCTTAATACAAAATAGCATTTACCTGCTTTTGGCGCCAGTAATATTAGAAGATGGTTGTTGGGTGATGAGGTTCTCTTAGAAAGTAATTTGGTGTTGATTCAGGAACAGAGCGCATATTCTATACAACTTCTGATTTAGGTAAAGTGGCGTATGTCAAGACATATAAATATATTTGAGACTTATTGTATAGTTACCTAGAACTTCATTCAGCATATATGATGTATGTTACAGGTGCCCTGGCTATGGAGTCTCTACACCGACAAGTGCTGCCCTTCGTGCTGCGTCGCCTCAAGGAGGACGTGCTGCAGGATCTGCCTCCCAAGATCATCCAGGACTACTACTGTGACCTCAGTCCCCTCCAGGTGGAGCTGTATGAGGACTTCGCCCGCTCACGTGTCAAGAAGGGCATCGACGAGACCCTACAGGATGACACAGACAAGAAAGTTAACTCTCAGGGAACTACTCATATATTCCAAGTATGTAAACTGCTTTGTACTTTGTGTTTGTGTGTCAAGTTTGGGATGAATCTGAATGTCTGATATTCATTGTGAGAATGTGCTCCATCATAGGGTATCTATTTGCAGTCTTCTACAAGACAATGTAATCATTGACTTGTGTCACTCCGAGACCAACCCGTGAAGATCCGGGGTAGAATAGCTCTTCAGCAACCCATGCTTGCCACAAAAGGCAACTATTCTTTTCGTAAGAGGCGACTAACGGGATTGGGTGGTCAGGCCTGCTGACTTGATTGACACATGTCATCGGTTCCCAATTGCGCAGGTCGATGCTCATGCCGTTGATCACTGGATTGTCTGGTCCAGACTCAATTATTTACAGACCACCACCATATAGGGGGAACATTGCTGAGTGCGGCGTAAAACTAAACTCACTCACTCACTCCAAGACATTGTCTGTGTGTAAACTGGGTTTATGTCTGATTTGCATTGACTGAAAAATTGACCTAGTCCTAGTCTCCCATTAAAAGCACTACTAAAAAGGCAGAAGAATGTGAAGAAACATATCAATGTTGTGTGTTGGGAAAGGTCAGACAGAGCCATAATTACCTGTTGAGGGATGTTTTAGTTAATCCAGGATCTGCTGGTTGTGTGTTTTAAGATTCACCCCAATTTGGATCCTTAGGTGTGTCTCCTTGTCTTGCACCAAAGTGGAAATCATCTAACACAATCATAACTTGTGATTTCCCTCATGCATGTAGGTGATATGTCATGATAAAACTGAAAGTCTGTTCAGAGTGTAGTTAAACCCAAGCTGGGACCTAACTCCCTGAATATTGTGAAAATAGGAGTACTGGAGTTTGGGATATCTCGGTGCCACAATTCAATGTGAAGAGTTCCAGTGTAACTGGAAAACAAACTAAGTACCGCCAAAACACTCTGCGTTCACACCGGCACTCATGTTTTTTTAAAGGTCTCATCATACAGCTCTGGGCCCTTATTCTCGAAACGTTCGTAGCCCTAAGAATTCTGAACTTTGATCGTAGCCAATGTGTTAAGAATGGGCTTAAGAAGTTCTTAAGGCTACGAACATTTCGAGAATAGCTAGCCTGGTTTGTTTCATCATCTGGTGACTGTGTAGACTGATGTTGAAGACGCTGACTGTTGATGTTTCTTTACCAGGCTCTGCAGTATCTACGGAAGGTGTGCAACCACCCGGCCCTCGTGCTCAACACCAACCACCCCAAGTATGAGTCCGTCTGTCAGCACCTCAAGCAGCAGAACTCGTCCCTGAAGGATCTCACACATGCCCCCAAACTCACAGCACTCAAGTAAGTCTCTTTCTCTTTCCATACTTGCAACTCACAAGTAGTTTTCTATCTATTCTCCCAATGTCAGAGGTCTGAGGCTAGTCTTATGTCCCATACTTCAAGCGGTCTAGTAGGTCTTAGTCCCTTGTCTCAACCTGACTCAAATGTAGATGAAACAACTACAGTCAAATCCCGATGAGTCGAATATCTGGGGACCAAGTAATAAATTCGACTTATCGATGTATTCGTGACATAGGTATGTCTATGAGGGTAGAAAAAAATTGATCCCGTCCTAATTCCTCCGCCTAAGCATTTGTTTATCTAATGATTTCCCTATCACTAATAGGGGCACCTTATCAGTTCCCGTCTGATTAGCACAGACAGTGATTTCCGTAAAATCACTAATCTGCCTTTTGAACTCACCCGTCAAAGGCGGAAAGGTGTGAGCCGAGCTGGTTTGTTAATTAGATCAGTTTGCTACACCAATCAACTTCTCATTGACTGACTCCGGCTTATGTATTCAAGATTGCTGTTGTTTGAATCTCATGGGTCCAAATTTTCTTCTCGAGTCATCGTGTGTATTTATGAGTCGAATTCGTGTAACCGGTATTCAAATAATGACAACTATAACAGGGAATGGTCGGGACCGACAGGTACTTCGAGTTATGCATAATATTCGAGACACAGGCATTCGACTCATCGGGATTTGACTGTAGTTATTTATTTTTCCAAAAAAAGTGTCCAATTTATTTGTTCATGTGAATGCTAAAATACATATCATTTATTGTAATAAACATTTGATCGTTCCTGGTGTCAGTCCAGTAGTAATTAATACAATCCATTTGGTATTTTCAATGAATGTTGATGTGCCTGGAGTGTATTTCATGTTGCAACATTTTAACAGATATAATGTCATCTTGCAGACAATTACTGAATGACTGTGGTATCGGTGTGCCCATGTCCACGCCAGGAGGCAGCACTGGTCACCTCGGTACAGATGTACCTGTTGTCAACCAGCATCGAGTGCTGCTGTTCTGTCAGCTCAAGGGCATGCTGGATATAGTGGAGAAAGATTTGCTCAAGTAGGTTTGAAAGTACTCTCAATACTGTTATGCATCACTCTGTTTATACAGTGTGTAAACTAAAGAAACGTGTGTGAGCCATGTAGTATGAGAAGCATTAAAATAGGGATTTGGGTGTTTTGTGGATGTTTCTGCATTCGTAAAACATCCCGGCATCAGTAAAACAACCAATACCCACATCTATAACATCTCAGCTTCAGTAAAACATCTGTAAAACACCTTCGGCAAAACATCCTAGCATGAGTAATATATTGGTGGCAGCAGTGAAGTATCCCGGCGGAATAATACGTCGTGGCTTCAGCGAAACCACTCAGCACCACATTTTGACATTGTCTGCACCAAATTTTCAACCTCGTGTCTTTCATTCTATGAACAAGACTGTTTTTGCAGCAGTGACTTGGAAGGGAGCTAATTGTCATACATCATATTCCAGATGTCAGTTGCCATCGGTTACCTACCTGCGTCTAGATGGGAGTGTCCCTGCTGGCTCCAGACATGACATTGTACACAGGTCAGTCACTTATTGCTCTACTGGTGTCCTCTAACCCAGCAGCTGCTGATGAAAGTAGTGCACTCACCAGTGATTATAGAAAGTCTGATTTACAGTTCACTGCTCGAATCTGGAAGAGAAGCCAACATTTAGAAGCCTTGCGTAGATCGATGTTGATCACGGGATTGTCTGGTCCACACTCAATTATTTACAGACCACCAAATATAGCTGGAATATTGCTGAGCTTGGCATTAACCAACAAACAAACAAATGTAAACTAGGATTCAATCTTAAGTCTGTTGTTTCAGATTCAACAATGATCCGTCTATAGACATGCTGCTGCTCACCACCCATGTGGGAGGGCTCGGCCTCAACCTGACCGGGGCTGACACCGTTATATTTGTGGAGCATGACTGGAACCCCATGAAGGATTTACAGGTCCGTACAGCTCCAGGCTGTGGTAAAATAAGCCAAAATAGATTATGCCTTCTGTTCCAAATCTTTATGAAGTACAGTCTGCAAGGTAGTGGATGAAACGATTGGCACAGTAAAGACGTAAACAAATCAAGTCCAGGCATTACTCCCCCAGCAGTCAATTCTAATTGGACCAAAATTACCCTACGTTTTCTGGGATTGTTCACAATAAGCAGGAGTAAGAACTGTGAAACTGTAATAGACTGTCATCAACAAATTTGATTAAGTTCAATCTCCTATGAAACGGATCTTTGCTCACTGCGGCAAAACAAAGATCTAAGGACATCCAATTTCAGGTCATGTTTGAACAACATTTTACATACATTTGTAAAATGTAATGACTAACAAGCTATACAGCTGGCAACTACACTTTTGGGAAATGTTCGGACAATGTTCTCAATTCAAACTAAAGAACATTCTTGAATGTCAAATAGATTACATAGATTGTGTCGCAGTCTCCCGAGATTTCAATGCAAAGTCTCTTCCATCCAAATGTACATCCCACTGAAGCGAAAGACTAACAGTCATAAACTTGTAACGGTCTTTTGAAATGCACTATGTCAACCTTTTCAAGGTTGCATAATTAGAAAACAGGTTCTGACTTGTACGTGACACTCTCACTAGTCAGCTGAAGGTCATTCTGAAGTGTTCTGTAATGGCATGTTCTCACATCTTTGTTTTGCCGTAGTGAGATCTGGTTTTATTGAGATGGTGGTGGCCATTTAGGTTTCAAGAGTTGTTGAATATGTTGGCTCATGTTGCAGGCTATGGATAGAGCTCATCGTATTGGTCAGAAGAAAGTGGTAAACGTTTACCGTCTTATCACCCGGGGCACACTGGAGGAGAAGATCATGGGGTAAGTGGGGTCAAGTTTAAGGGAGGAGGAGTGAGTGAGCTTGGTTTTACGCCGCTTTTTAGCAATATTTCAGCAATATGGCGGGGGGACACTAGAAATGGGCTTCACACATTGTGCCCATTTTGGGAATCAAACACGGTTCTTTGGAGTGATAAGCAAATGCTTTTACCATCTCCCCAGGAGATTGGAATGGATAAGGTGGGTCATGTTTTCTGGATGATGAGATCATGAAACAAGGTGGGTCATGTTTACTGCAGTAAGTAAGAGACCATCTCCAAAAGTCTCAAATGTGAATCGGCCCATGAAGTTTCGGGATAGAACTGATCTTCAGTAACCCATTCTTGTCATAAGAGGCGACTAACAGGATCAGGTGGTCGGACTCGCTGACTTGGTTGTCACGTCATCGTATCCCAATAGTGCTGATCAATGCTTATGATGTTGATCACTGAATTGTCTTGTGCAGACTTGATTATTTACAGATCACCTCCATATAGCTGGAATATTGCTGAGTGCGGCTAAACTAAACTCACTCACTCATATGTGAATCTCACTCTGCAGCTTCTCTTAACTGACTTCCTTCTTGGCTTCAGGCTACAGAAGTTCAAGTTGACAATAGCCAACACAGTGATCACGCAGGACAACTCTAGCCTCCAGACCATGGGCACTGACCAGCTGCTTGACCTCTTCACCCTGGGGGACAAGAAGAAGGGGGAGAGTGCAGCCAGTGCAGCCATGGACAGCAACCTCAAGCGGGAGACCATGAGAACCATCCTGGAGAACCTGGGAGACCTCTGGGATGAGAAGCAGTACGAGAATGAATTCAACTTGGACAACTTCATGAAGTCTCTAGCCAAGTAGGCTCTATTTGTGATCTGCTGGCTTCGTGAAGTCTCTGGCCAGAGAGCTCTCCATCTGCGGTCTGCTGGCTTCAAGACGTCTCTGGCCAGAGAGCTCTCCATGTGTGATCTGCTGGCTGCAAGACGTCTCTGGCCAGAGAGCTCTCCATGTGTGATCTGCTGGCTGCAAGACGTCTCTGGCCAGAGAGCTCTCCATGTGTGATCTGCTGGCTTCAAGACGGTAGCTCTGATCAGCTTAGTTTACAATATATCAACAGTTCTTAGAACAAACCCATGGAATCACAGTGATATTGAAATGAAAATGTATCCCTGATAATGCAAAGAATTAATCATGTTTTTCACCAATCCACATTTGTAGATAATCTCATCACAGAACACTTGTCCTTTAGAAATGACTGGGTCAGTATTTATTTGGATGGAAATAGGCATTCAATGCCAATATGTTCTTGAGCTCAGTAGTTAGAGTGGAATGATTTTCTTTCAGCTGCTTCACAATACCACTGTTTCAGCTCATGCATGTTCCGCAGATACCATGGTACATGTACTTCAGCACTTCCAGAGATGTGTAATCTTCGACCAGTTCCTTCAACATTGATTAATACATTCTGATTAGGGGTGTACTGATTCACTAAATGTTCCAAGAATAAAGGTGGCATTAAAAGATGCATTATTTTTTTTTAAAATATACTACTCAAAAAGGTGAATCACCCATTATATTCATGGAACTAAATAGTCTGTCCTGCCAGGACAGATTAACTGTAGACATGAAAAAATAATATGTTTTTAACTTTTTTGAGCGGTATATTTGTGCCTGTCTGGCCAGGAGAGCTCATTTCACGGTTTTATTAATTAATTCAAATCTGCCAATTTCTATTCATTCTCTATGATGGAAAATGTCTCCAAAAGTGTGAAAGGATGAGTTCACAGGTATCATATTGTGGATCGTATTTTGAACTTGCTTTCAAGATATGTATAATTATATTAATAGCACAAGAAAGAGTGATGAGCCCCTTATGTTAAACTTACAATAGCAGTAGAATATATACAATATTTCATGGACAAGATGTCGATGCAGCTTGCGTGCATGTTACGTACAGTGTTAAGAGTGCACGTTTCTCTAAGGCATGCCCACTGATATGTGGAGAGATGATACCTCTCACTGTATATATTTGTAAATATATATATATATATATATATATATTCGTCAGGTCAGGTCACAGGTCAAGGTCATGTCTGACTCCTTGATTTCAATATATGATAAATATTCCATGATGTGTATGACGTTTCTTGACAACATTATGCAACATTTGATTGTCCTGACTTTCAGGAATGTGTCATTTTAAGACAGGTGTTATTTTAATGAGCGTTTTAGGGGAATTTTATTTTGAAAGTGAGAGTGAATTGATTGGGTCTTGAGGACAATTTTGTGGAAAGTTTTCTCTGAAGAGAATGATGGTCACAGTTGATTTATCATCCTAAGCTTCCTGAATGGTCAAAGCCTGCACCTCGTCTTCCACACCAAAGTAGGAGCAGATCGGCACACATTGTGCCATTATTCCCTGTACAAGCCTCTGATAGTGGGTTTGAATCCCAGCTAGGTGTGTCATACCCATTCTCGTGGGTTTCATAGTGGCACACATCGACAACCTGCATCACTTTGTGTTGTCCCTCTGTAGTAAGCTGTAACTTCGGTGACTTAAAGTTAATTACCTTTTAAATCAGTTTTAAGCCCTATTCAAGCCAGATGTTGTTTTTTCTTTCCTTTTTGTGATTTAAGGATTTCTCGTCCAAATACTCAGGTTAGGTCAAGGAGGTAAAATATAATATACATTCACTTTCAAATATTCTTTTCACTTCCTCAAGTTATAGAGAAAGTAAAGAAAAATAATTTAACAGAACAGTAAACAAGTTGGTGTTTTTAAAAATATTTACTTCTTTATGGTGAACAGAATAATAAGAATACTGCATCTCATGTATATTTTTTTCATATCAAGATATTTTTGGAACAAGTTCATTCTGAAATCTGGGGGGCGGTGGGGTAGCCTAGTGGTTAAGGCGTTCGCTCGTCACGCTGAAGACCTGGGTTCGATTCCCCACATGGGCACTATGTGTGAAGGTCATTTCTGGTGTTCCTCGACGTGATATTTCTGGAATATTGCCAAAAGTGGCGTAAAACCAAACTCAGTCACTCACTGAAATCTGGTTTAAAAAGAGTGAGACCTCATTTAACTTTGGGCGTACATACATTTATCAATATCCAAACATGACTGCAGGCTTAGGGTTAAATCAAAGAGTTTGCCTGCGTTTATGAAATTTGCATGTATCGTAGAGGGAATGTATCTATCTTAGTTATCTTAAAAACTTAAGCGTGAGCGATGGCAGTAGTACAGCCGAGTGGATGAAGCGTTTGCTCATCACACCAAAGAGCAGGGTTCAATTCATCACATGGGTATGATGGGTGAAGTTTATTTCTCGTGTTCCCTGCCATGATATTGCTGAAATATATTGTTCCCCAATTGAAATATACTAATCTAAAAAGGCTAAAGACCTGATGATTTTATGACTATAGTTAATTAGTCATGACAGGTTTGCTGTAATCATGTAATCATATGAACAAACTGAATGTTCTTTGACTTTCTCCAAGCGCTGTATTGTCAGGCCTAATTATTGTAGACCTCACACAATGGTCTGTAGGTTCATGTCACTAGATATTGCCTTCATAAGGCTAACATGTTTGATATGAAAGCATATATACCATCCAGTATGTTTAATGGCAGATCATGCCAGTGTAGTATAGGTTAATTAATGGTATTTAGTTGTAGTGCCAGTTGTACCTTTACAGATTGGCATAACATGGAACCCATGACTCGCAAGCTCCAACTCAGATCTTTTACTCCAATACAAATCATCTCTGTGTCATTTTTATCAAATCCCACCTTGGAAATTACTTTCTAAGCCCTGAATGAAATTTGGGCCTTCTAATCTTGAAGGATGTGTGAATTTTTTAACCGTTCAGATGCCTTCTTTGTAGGATGATTCACTTCACATCCTTTGATTTGTAAGTGTTGATCTTAAAACAAATAAAGATATAAAACACAAACTTTCAGGCAGTAATACACCTTTTGGGTGCAGATGCAATGGTGCTTTTCCATTGAGAGGGTGTATAAACATATCATCATTATTAGATGTAACCTTTATTTTCCATTGGGAACTGTCTGTTTTTGTTTGTTGTTTTGGGGTACACAAGTCAGATTGGTAGCTCCAAATGATTTTCTCACTCTTTCAGAATTGATGGCTTTATCACCTGACATCCCCTCTGATAAGAGTGTTTGTCAAGCGTTCCTGCTGTGAGTTTATCAGAGTATAATATCTGATTTTAATTACAATGCAAGAGCCATAATGCTGTTAAAGGCATAGTAATGAAAATGTTAATGAAATTGAAAATGAAGGAAAATTTGCATTATCACAATATACAGGCAGTATTTGTGAACAACTGTTTTCTAATCAGGATGTCATTGGTTCCCAATTGTGCAAGTCGATGCTCATGCTGTTGATCACTGGATTGTCTGGTCCAGACTCGATTATTTACAGACCGCCACCATATAGCTGGAATATTGCTGAGTCGGCGTAAAACCAAACTCACTCACTCTAATCAGAAGCGGATATCTTTCATTGCATTCATACATACATTTAGTTAGATCAGCTCCATTTTGATATGGTCACAGAGTGATCTGGAGCCCTCCACTTGTAGTACAAGTTGATATTCAAAGTGCTTGATGGATTTGGTGTTGCAATTGCGATAGTTGTCCAATTTTGATGCTTGCTCCGTCCCTGAAGTTCAAACACCTGCTCATGATAATTTTAACAACTAAAACATCAACAGTAAATTGTTACAGTTGTCATTTAAAGTCCAATGCAAACAGATGTTATGTTGGTGAGAATTATTTGTTCATTTGAAAACTAGATAATTCATAATCCAAAAGACATGATCTGTCTCATGTATCTAAGTAAGAGGGGTATAGGGGTATAGCTATCAGGTGATGTATTTCCTGAACTGATACTGGCATCAGGGTGTTATGCCAGTGGGAGTTGTCATTAGTCAGTAGCTCGTTATCATCTATTAATAGGACATTTTCATTTGTCAGTAGGTTGTCATTCATCCATGGGAGGTTTTCATTCATTTATGGGAGGATTTCATTTGTCCTCAAAGGTTTTCATTCATCTAGAGGCATTTGTCATCCCCAAGGTTGTCAGGAAGTTTTCATTCATCTATGGGAGGTTTTCATTTGCCAATAGGACATTTTCATTTGTCAATATGAGGTTGTCATTTGTCAATAAGAGGTTGTCATCTGTCAGTAGGAGGTTGTCACCCGTCAATAGGAGGTTGTCATTATACCAGTGGAAGGTCAGATCTCTGTTTTCTTGCATGTTCTACTTCATTCCACAACATATATTCTGTTTACATGTATTTGTTTCATCACAACATTGTTGCCATGCAAGTGCTTTAAGATTGAATGAAATGATTGCATGTGACTGACAGATGTTGAGATCAGGTGTTTTCTGTACATCATGGATGGTTGGACATACTTGTTGCTCATGCTACTACCCACTTGTTTGGTCAAGATAGTGATATGTAATAACGTGTAATTGTGCTGACTGTCAAACATCTTCACTATATGTTGTTTACAATTGTGCTGTGAGAAATAAGTCATTGCATAGTTTGCTGATCCAATGACTGAAATCAAACAAGGTCAAAATCAGAAGGAAATAAATCTTGATTTTTAACTTAGTTCTCAAACATATCTTAACCAGATAACTTTTTTGCTTTTTTCACTCCTCTGACATAGCTTTTAAAAAATGCATGGCTCCGAATAATGTTTTCCCTTGATCACCCTGTGTTATGTTTCTTGTTAGCGTTGGGTCGGGTGTCTGCCGAAAATGCCACACTAAGCATGCTGGTGCTTAGAAAATTGAATCTGGATGCCAATCAAAACCATACACAGCAATATACATTTGTTGCTCGAGATTGAGCGCAAGAGAATATATTTCAGTTGATGATAAAAAGATTAATAGGCAGTTCTAACCAATTCAACACTGCTATCAAGACAAATGTCTACACTATTGTCGTGTATATTACCTGGTTTAATATGTGGCGTTTTTACATATTACCTACAGCTTATGTAGATATCTTACAGCTTAATATGGCAAATACAGTTTGTATATTAGACTCTGTTTGAGTATTGCTATTTGGTTCAGCTCTGTACGTGGATGTGAGAACGTCACCAGGGTGTTTTATCATCCCAAACTGGCTTCCCTTGTAGATAACGCCCAGGTGAGATCAAACAATGTATTCCAAGAATTTCATGAGTTATAATAATGTCATAATCAAATGACATCACAAATCTCTGCCGCTGTATACACAACATGTAATTACTTGATCTCAGCATGGCAGGCAACAGCATGGAGCACAGTTGATAATGTGTCACTTGTTTACTTGCAGACTGTATACATCCTTTATTTGCAGCTCCTTTCAAACCATGCAAATGACTGCGAGCAGATTTTCCAAAGGAATTGCTCATGTACTTGTATCAGCAAATGATAAGTGGATTATGATTGCAATTGTTTATTGTTTTGTGATATGCACAAATGAAATGTTATTTGGTGTTTGAACACTGTTTTGCTTTTGCTTGTTATCAGCTGAATGTTGATCTGTTTCTGTCAAGCTATTGTGCTATGCTTAATTTCATATAGTACTTAAAGATTCATGTGAATAGTTTCATCATGTAACTCAACATTCTTGTAATGGGTCTTCCTAGCAGTCTGGGGCATATGCGGAGCTGGAATTAGAATTATACATGCTTACAGAATAAACAATACCACTGTTCGGCATTGAAACTGAGCATAACTTCATGAGCTAGGGGGACCATGAACCTAACTTTCTATTCTTTCCTCTTTTTCAAATTCAACTAATTTGAAGCTGATAAAATGAATGTTCTGGGTATTATACATCAAAGAAGGGCTTGGGTTTAGCCTCGTGGTTAAACCATTCACTTGTTGTGCCAAAGACCCGGGTTTAATTCCACTTATGGATACAATGTGTGAAGTCCATTTCTGGTGTCCACCGGGGCGGTGGGGTAGCCTAGTGGTTAAAGCGTTGACTCGTCACGCTGAGGACCCGGGTTCGAATCCCCACATGGGTACATTGTGTGAAGCCCATTTCTGGTGTCCCCCCCCCGTGATGATGCTGGAATATTGCTAAAAGCGGCGTAAAACCAAACTCACTCACTCTGGTGTCCACCATTGTTATATTGCTGGAATATTGCTAAAAGCAGTGTAAAACAATACTCACTCAAACTTCAAAGTGATCTTTGTGTTAAGTTCTTGTAAATCTATGTTAGTGTAGGAGTCATGATAGCTGAGCTCCAAGATCTCTTTAAGGAATGGGTACCTGAATCTGTTTGTTAACAGCTATGGTTGGTTTTCTTTAAATACCCATGTTGTTTGATTTGACTGGTGTATACATCCAACACCTACATCACTGCTCTTTCCTGCAGGGGGTTAAGCCCATTTCTGGTGTCCCCTGCCATTGATATTGCTGGAATATTGCTAAAAGCGTAAAACTAAACTCAGTCAGTCAGTCAGTCAGTCAGTCCTGCAGGGGGTGGTGGGGGTAGCCTGGTGGGGTAAAGCGTTGGCTTCACGCCGAAGACCTGGGTTCGATTCCCTACATGGGTACAATGTGTGAAGCCCATTTCTGGTGTCCCCCGCTGTGATGTTGCTGGAATATTGCTAAAAGCGGCGTAAAATCAAACTCACTCACTCACTCCTGCATAGCATTTTCCTTCCACATTGTGTGTGTTCTTTAAAATGTAGTTCATGGTCCCTAGCAATGGATGCACACCTGGGCCCCATTTCACAAAGCTCTCGTAAGCCTAAGACCTCGTAACTTTTCTCGTAGCATTACATACCTCCTATACTGTAAAGAGTGATTGGGGTAGCCTGGTGGTTAAAGTGTTGGCTCGTCAAGCCGAAGACCGGGTTCGATTCCCCACATGGGCACAATGTGTTACGCCCATTTCTGGTGTCCCCGCCCCATTGATATTGCTGGAATATTGCTCAAAAGCGGCGATAAAACTAAACTCACTCAGTCAGTCAGTCAGTCAGTCCTATACTGTAACATAGGAGGTCGCGAATGCTACGAGAAAAAGCTACGAGATCTTGGGGCTTCACGAGCTTTGTGAAACGGGGCCATGGGCTATAACAATCATTGCATGAAGTATAACCAAGATTAAAGGGTATTAAACTAGGTAGACAGTTGTAGATGAATTATGTGGGTTTACAGTATTTATGTCAGCTTGCCACTGGCATCGTCAATAATGGAATCGCATGCCACCAAGAGAGACAAATAGGCTTCATGGTTGAGTCCCAAGATAGAAAGATACACTGTGTTCTAACAGGCTGTTGAACAGATGGTTATCATGATTCATTGAATTGTTGTGATGTTACACATGTTAAAATACATTTCTTGTTTCTCATAACCAGATAAAGGTCTATTTTGGGGGATGTTTTTCAAAAATAAAATTAAATATTGGAACCAACTTTGTTTTTACTCAAATTTAGTTTGTGTCCTGTTAATCTGGGTGGAGTCAGATTTACAGGTTCACTATCACAGCTACCATGGCCTGAACTGTTCATACTTCAACCAATGGGAAAAAGCCATAGCCAAGAAATGTTAACATTGTATACTACTCAAAAGAATTTAAAGAACACAATTTCTTTCATATTCCTATAGTTAATCTGTCATATCTGGTTTGTATAATAGTAAAACACAGCCTTCCAATGTGTGTTGTGGAGTGTTTTAACTTGTTTTGAGTTGTATACACGGAATTTTTCCATTTCATGTTTTATTTTACAGATTTCATCTCTAATGTAAGAAAACAGTAAAGAGAAACCTATCTCAAAGTAAAAAATTGGTCATGAAAAACAGGTGTATATTTTAACCGGCATTAAAAGGGTAAATTTGTAATCTGGACAGTGTTGAATTTCCTGAAAGGGTGGAAAAGGGTTTGTGAACTGTTTGATTTTTTTTCATGATTTGTTCACCCTAACTTACTGCTGTTTGCGTTAGGAATTAGTTTTTGGAAGTTAATATAGTTTTGTTGCTAACATTTGCAAGGAGTTCAAGAATGATTAGTGAAATTGTTCTTAGAGACACATTTTGTCAATCACAACCAGTTAATGAAAATTGTCATGATGTACACAGATGGGGAAAAACACTGAAAGTTGTCTTTGCAGTTTGTAATTTCTCATTTTGTTGAAAAATTCAGTTGATATAGGAAAGCAATAAACATATGAAGAAAGTTTTGATTTTGTTTTATTATTTCTCACTGTGAAACATAACACTTTGAACAAGTTAATATATATGTACAGAGGCAGAAAGTACAAATTCACATAATGTACATATGTACACAAACTTACCCACAAACCATCATAACATAATTGATAAGGTAGCTTCCAAACAGAAGTATATGTTTACAAAACAATCTGTGCTATGTAACTGTCATACCATATTTCAAAGATCGTCAACAACATTCTGTCCTCTAATATGAAAAAACAGCCAAGATGAATGTATTCTGTCCTGAACTTCATTTTACAAGTTTTGGCCAAACACTGTATTGTGGATGGGCCCTATAAATACTTACAGCTATCAAGATTTGACACAAAATGCAATGCAAAATGATGACTTGAGTGCGCAAGGACCAAGTTTTTACGTCAATATAGTCATAAGTTCGGCTTAATCAGTCTATTATATAGCTCAGCTGATTATAATCAGACATCAAATGTTGTATAAATACATACTTGCAACAAACTGCGATGCCCACTTTCACAAAGTCATCTTAGTTACCCACGACAATCTCAGGCTATGTTAGAGTATGGGAATTATGATCATCCTAGCTCTAAGATTGCTTTGTGCAAATGGGTCCAGAGCAGTAAAATTATAAAAAATTTGCACATTTACCATTTTTTTATCTGCTCAGAATTTGAAGTAAAATGGAAATAAATCTTCAATGCAATGTAAGAGACTGTAATGTGGTTTTGACTTGAGGGCTGGAAATTTAATAATCATTAAAAATATCTACTTTCATTCCTTTTCGGAGATGGCATATTGGGGGATTATGAAGTGGCAGAAAACAATGTCTTGATCAGAGGCCTTCAACCTACAGCTTAAAAATATCACTGCATGACTGGAAAAGTATATTCATCTAATTTCTTTAGTTGCTCATTCTCTGTACCCATAAAGTTACTTCTATACAAAATAAAGGTCTGAACAAGATGTCCTGTGAACAGATCACACACACACCATCCTGTGGAAGCAATGGAACACATCAACACATGGTGATACAACATCAAGACAATAGTGACGATTCTCTACTGGGAGGGTGTGGGGGACTCTACGACTGCTGGGGAACATCTGCCTCCGTGTCCAGTTTGGTCTTGGAGGCATTGGGGGTGGGTTTGTCCCAGTCTGGCATCTGCTTGTCCCAGAAGTAAGCTGACCGCGAGGTCTGGATCCCCTGATTCTCCTCTCGCCATTCCTTCTGCCACTGCGAGGAGTTCCTGGATTTCTGGAACCCGGCCGGACCTGCACACAAGCAAACACAGAGCTTATAAACAAAATTGTAATTTGCTTGTTGTTTTAGAATCACCGTCAGCAATATTCCAGTGGTATCATAGATATAACTAGAATGAATCTGTACCAGGCTAAAAAGCTTACATCAGAATCAAGCATCCCTTGCTGTTAGTAAGTATATACACAAATGTACAGCAAGGGTTTTACACTGAACTTCGAAAAGGCTAAAGTCATGCTGACTCACGAAGTATTTATTTTAAGAGTCATTTTTCAATATCTGGGGAGTCTATTGGCTGTCTAAATATAGTGAATGACATGCTCAAATGCTATTGGCTGAGTATCTTTACAGCTGTTCCTAGCGTGGCTCTATATTTAATACACTCCGTACTTTCTGTTAATATCACCAGCATTTTTCAACACAGTTTGCAATAAAGCGAAAGCTATGCATTGTTTTCTTAGCCAATCAATTTTATTGGGGCGACTTCTGAAGATTACTGATAAAACTTGCATCAAGCTTGACTTCGTATGATAATATTTTGAGAGTCTTTAGAGAATTATTTGCATCAAATGCGCAGAGATCATGCGTCATGTAAAACCACAATACAGGTACCTTCCCTCTTCTGGAAACAAGAGCTGATGCTTTAGGGACCTCTGGGTTGGTCATTTAACTAATAAATGTTTCAAACATCAATTTGCTCACAAGCAGTGATGTCCTTGGAAATCAATAATAGTATATGTCCACAGAAGTTATTGTATTTTCCAAGTCGCTTACCAGATAGCCCCTCCGGTGGGACCCTGTATGATGAAAGTATTAGCCTCCTCCCCTCTGAAACCAAGATGAGAGACAGTGGCAGAGGTGGACCCAGGAGACTGAAAACGGATATGATAGGAAATGATGGACTGGCAACAGAGACGCTGATCAATGCAATATCATCAACAGTGGGAAGATGATTTTTGAGGATAGAGAAGGACGGAAGGAACTAAATGAGCAA